ATTTTTGATGATTACTTTATCTATTGATGACTCTTAGGCACAGGATTCCCTGGATTCCTAGGATTTCCATAGGATTCCCTGGATTCCTAGGATTCCCAGGATTCCCGTGGGATTCCCTGGATTCCCATTGGATTCCCAGGATTTTCAAGATTCCCAGGATTCCCATGGGATTCCCTTGGGATTCGGAATCCCGGGAATCCGCCGTTTCCCCCTTGAAAATTTTTGAAGACTTTGAGTTTATTTTGTAATGAAGATAAAATTGATTGATTTTCTCTTTTATTTCATCTGTTCCCTTGATTCCAGAAAATAAGCATTTGTTTATATTGTATGAAGATAAGTGTTTTAAGATATAATTTTTAAGATCAAGTAAAATCAGATAAAAACTGAATATCAGTGAAAGAGAAAAGACAGTATGATTTTCGCATATTCGCATTTCGGTAAGCAGAAACAGAGATATCAGGATGAAGACAATATAGTTCAAACTGTTACCACTCGGGTCACCAGAAATGAAGATGTCGGCACTAGTACAATTCGTCGCACGACAATTCGTCGCAATCAATTCGTCGCGAAACATTTTCTTTCTTTCTGTTCGTCGCGAACAATATCATTGCGATCAATATGTCGATCTCGCTCTTAATTAATTTTTTTTTATAACCAATCCAAATAAAAAAAAGTAAATGAAAAAATGTGAAAGATCTACTGAAGAAAAGATTGCACTGAAGATGATAACTTTAATTGGAAAAACGGATCAGTAGAACATGTTAATCGCATGTAGTCATGATAGAGCTAAATTTTTCGAAAAATAATTAGTTTTGTCAATCGTGTAATGAATTTCGACATTATCTAGACTAACGATAACACTGTTCCAATGTTCTTAATTATATGACTGTGGGATAAAAGAATAAATATTGATGATGTTGAAAATGTATTTCATTTCTGAATCTGAACATTTACTGTACACAACAGTTCGAAAAAATGTCTCAAATCCAGAAGCTGCTTTCTGAAAAAGGAAAACCAATGCTCCTCCACGAAAGTTACATCTACACTGTAGAACATACAACAACGACGAAAGTGATTTTTCGATGTCAGAATCGTGATTGTAAAGGTAAATCCACTTTGACTATCATCAATCAATTAATGAAAATGAAAATCATTTATCAATTAAGCACGTTGCCATACCAATTTATCCATGGACGCATTTCTCTCTCAACCAACATCACATGGTTATGCACCACAAGCTGATCGTGTTCCAGCTATCCAATTAAAGAACGAAATTAAAGCTCGTGCTGCAACAACGGATGAATCATCGAGCTCAATTCTTCATTCGGCCTTACGAACATATCCTCTAAGTGTCGCTGGTCAACTTCCAAGAAGTGACGCACTTACGCTCACAGTTCGACGACAATGTACTGCTGAAACAGTCGATGCCAATGGTCATTTACCAGAAAAATTAAGAAAGACATATCGTGATAAAGATTTCATCTTGCACGAAGACGAGCGTTGAATTATCTTTACAACGAAAAACAATTTATCTATTCTGAAGCAAAACAACCATTGGTTCGCTGATGGAACATTTAAAGTGAGCTATTAATTGAATGTGTATCTTTTTTTGTGTACTCAAAAAGTGAGTACACTACTAAAATCGGTCAGTGTGTCCGGCCGTCCGGCGGTCCGTTTATTCGATAACTTTTGAAAGGAGAGTCAGATCGCGATGAA